GGTGAAAAATATTATGTTCAAGAATGATTTCAGGTATTTTATCAAGTATCTTGTGGTTGATAATATTGGATATAAGTGTGTTTAAAGGAAAGTTGGACGAAAATGCCCATTTGTGATTTATTGAAGTTTCATTAAGGATCTTTGAGAAATTAAAGTTGAAAATTAAGATACTTGAATAGAAAAATAAAGCGTGAGCTTATGAGAGCGTAAGAGCAAACTATTGAAAATCGGAGTTAAAACAAAGAAGTTATGCGCATTAGAAGTTTGAGGTGCCAAACTATAGTTTGGAATTATTATAAATACCCATAATCAGAAATTCAATTCACAATTTCGCCCTGACCCATTTACCCAATTTGAGACCTAATTACCGAGCAATATCCAAATGACCTGACCCGACTTTTTTGGTCGAGGTGCACGCCACCACCCCATTTGAAATATCTCAACGACGCGATTCTAACCTAGTTGGCCTTGTCATGATCGGAGCTCTGGTTAATTAGCAGCGAGCCTCCAAAGTTTTGCTGTGTTGTCGTGCGTTTAATCTCAATTATAACCAAACGGGAGGAAATCTGAAGTCGACCCATGTATGAAACTTGCTCTACTCATCAAGCTCTTCAATTTAGCATAAGTGGTAACCGGTGATTTTGAATTTTATGTCGCCGAAATTTTCTCACGAGACCCACGCACGGTAGAGGCACATGGGGCTAGCTTGGGAGACATGTTTTCGTCTCTATGTGATGTCATCAATGTCCCGAGCATGATAGTATGTTCAAATTTGTGAGATTCGATATTTGATCGAAGATCTAAGTTTCGCCTATCGTTTATCATTCAATCAATCAGATCGTTGAATTGTCTTCAGCTTTTAGTATATGTTGTTGTTGGTATTACTAGGACTGTGTAGCAACTTGTGGATTGAGAATCGGATGTGCGTAGGTCCGGATAAATGATTCTAAGGTTATGTTGATCGATTGTCGTCCAATTGTGTGATCAACAGAAATCCGACCGTTGGATTGTGGCCAAATTGTTAGGATGTGTTTCGGTGATTACAAATTGTTAATTTCCATATTGGACTTGGTCCTTGATTGGTGTTACTCCTTGCTTTCTCTAGTCTAGCGTAAGTGGGCCTGCAACATTTTCATATTTGAAAGATGTCTTTGTGAAAGATTCATAGCCCAAGATCTCGTTGTAATATCTGCAAATTGATTGACATTTGGTTTGTAAGGTTTGCTTTCATTGCTATTGGAAGATTCTATGAATGCCACATTTTCCTTAAATATGTTGAAACGCATTTTTTTCTCATTAATATACTTGTCCATAACGAGTCATCCATTAATTGCTCATATCTCCCATACAATGATGCATACTTCTTCGAGACTGGGAGAAGTGGTTTGAGAAACATAAGGATCAAGGCCAAAAAAAATACATTTGCTGTACTGGTTAATAAACTCCATGGTAGCTTACTAGTAAAGGAAGCATACTAGGATTTGATGAAGCAAATGTATTGAAAATCAAGGATATTCCGAAATGATAAACTTCTTCACCGTTTTAAAGAGAAGAGAATGGCCTTTGCTAACGAGTTTTTATCAAAAATAGTCAAAATTTACCACCCCCCACCACCCCGCGTGCGCACATGCTTTCATAAATGCCAGTTTTTATAAAAACTTTCAAAATAGCCAAAAACTCACTTAAATAGACTTAAATGCCCTCAAAACTAAACCCACATAAATAAATAAAAGAAAGCCAGTTAGGCAAAGAAAAAAAACAAGGAGAGTGCAACATAGAATCTATTTTGCTGCTATATATGCTCCCTTGTAACTGTGGGAAGAGAAATTAAGAAAGCTAGAGATGTAGACTCTAGAGTAACGACATGGGAAGGTTGTTTGGGATCAGTCTTGAAGGAAACATCTAGCTACAAGCACTGCAAAACCCATCCTGCTCTTGTTGATGACATACTTTCTAAAATTCTAAGTCGTTTAACCGAAGACATGGAAGGGTTCATCTTTTTGATAAATTTGTAAATGTCACACTTGGAGAGAAAGAAGAGTGGATCATGATAACACGATTACACTGTTGCATACATATTTTGCGTTTCATGTAGTTCAATGGTGGGGTGGTGGGAAATACGAGGCTGCAAAGGAGAAAAGCCAAAAGTACACGGAGGGAAATTTATCCTTGAGACATTCCACATTCTTGGTCCTGATGGAAGCAACTACTTTATAACTCTGGAAACTCAGATTGGTGGAAGCGATGCTGATGATGCCTGATTGATCAAACATTCAGGAAATTGCACTTAGTTAAAATGTATATTCTTTGCTACCATGTTTTTCTTATTATCACATTTGGATTGATTTTTCTTAGTCGATGATGTAATCTAGGGTCCTAGGTTATTTCTATGCTTAGATATGAAATCAAGTTTTCTAGGCATAGTCTTTTTTATTTATTTATCTGATTGACTTTCTTTTATTTATTTATGTGAATTTTAGTTTTGAGGGCATTTATGTCTATTTAAGTGAGTTTTTAGCTATTTTTGAAAGTTTTTATAATTAAAAACTGACATTTATGAAAGTATGGGGTAAATTTTGACTATTTTTGATAAAAACTCTTTGCTAACTCTGTGACCCAAGCCAAAAGATTGTCTGCAATTTCCATTTCCCATATAAATTTGTATATTTTTATTTACTTTATGAATTATTTCCATATACATTTTTTTCCCTCATTTGCATCTGTAATCTTTTTCTTCACTGTCACGTCACTTTTTCGTTATCTATCTTTAATTAAAATATAAACAAGCCGACCTAACCAATTAAGAATGTTATAATCTTAGTTTAATGTATGCTTATCAAGATGTGTACTATCATCATCATATTTTAATTTTCAGTAAAACCATTTGTATTATCTTAAGCGATGTGTTAAACAAACCCTCTTAAACATCTGAGGTCCAGTCCTATTCCTATATGTATTTTGTCAAGCATCAGATGAGCAGATCATTTCGTTGTCATTTGCTAAAGAAAGCCACATTTAAACATGTACGAAATGTGAATATCTGATACGGTTTTTGTCCTTGTGAGAAAAAACAGGAGTTGTTTGACTTCTTAATCTTGTTTTGTTCCCACGCAACTGATACCAAGTGAGAATGAGAGAACAAGTAAACACAACGGGTTTGTGCACAACTTGTGCAAGTGCAACACAAGAAGGAATTACGTTAGAAAGAAACTGATGGGAACTCAACCACAAAACAATTGTATTGGCGTATCTCATTGCCCTTTGCATCGACCAAATCTTTCGACTTCTCTAGCCCTGGCCATACCGGCGCCATTTTCTTTTTGCCCCCCAATTCTTTCGGTTTCTCGAGCCCTGGCCATACTGGCGCCATTTTCTTTTTGCCTCCAAAATCTTCAGGTTTCTCGAGCCTTTGCCATACCGGTGTCAAGTTGTCAAGCCCCGGCCACACGGGTGCTACTTTCTTTTGGCTTCCCAAACTTTTGGGTTTCTCAAGCCCGGGCCAGACTGATGTCATTTTCTTTGTAAACTCACAAATATATCAAGAAGAATGCTTCACAATGAGTAGAAGTGTACTCTTTTTCCTGTGTGTGCTTTCTATGTGAATCCTCCATTTGACGCCTCTATTTATAGAAGTCCCAAGAAATCCTAAATCATGTCGGAAGTTGTAACATAAATCCATATCCTAGTTGTAGTAGAAATCCCAATTAAACATACATGCAGGTCAAATAGGAGATAATGATATGTCTCCTAAACTTCACGTCTAAGGATACGCGGGGTTGTTTTAACATTTTCCAAAGCAATTGCAATTGTACTTTCTAGACAAATATCTGTAAATTCTTGAGCCTTCATATTTTATCAAAATAATAATAATCATCCTAAGAAAACATTTTTATCAAAATTCTAATTGTTTTTCAACATGTTCCAGAAGCCCACTCAGATTTTCATTCAAAATAACAGTTATATTTCATATTATTTTACTTTGCAGACATTCATACAATTGCCTAATAGACTAGATATATAAGCGTTTTTTTCTCTCTTAACTTTGATTTCTTATCTCACGGTTCCATAATTTTTAATTTTTTTTTGTTTGATGGATAAATAGTTTATTGGGTTTATATTGCAGGGTATTTTCTAGGGGTGTTTTGTTAGTATTTCACAACGTTTTAAGGGGGTTTAGGGTTTATGTGGTTAGGAACTTAGGATTAGGGCTGTACCATTAAATAATAAAGGTAACATGGTGTGATTGTGAATGAAATACATTTGATTTTAGAACTACCATTAGTGGGTTGGGTTGGGTGTAGGGCAAGATGTGAATTGAAACATTCACTTTTTCCTATTTTGTAATATATATTGTTTTTTTTAGTACAAGTGATAGTCTAACTACAGGGGAAGAGGATTTCTCACACGCACAACCATGATACCGTGGGGATTTGAACTTGAGACCTCTGATATGCAAGTCAATGCCCTTTTCCAATGAGCTAGATCCCGTTGGCATAAAAAATATAATTTAAAAAAAAGAGTGAACCATAGCAATTTTAATATTTGATAATTTCATTCGGGAGTGTTACAGAGATTCATAAGACAATTTGTATCCATCCCATTATAACGGGAAGTCCTTCAAGAATCAAGGTCTCAATTCTACCACCACAACATAATTATCAAGGGTCTCTATTGTTACAGACATTCCTAGAAGATTTATCTTAGTATGAAAAATTAATTTTTTGCAATCAACTTTAATTTGATCTCAACAACATATATGAGTCCATTGGAATGTGTGTTTTCTATATAACAGTTTCTTGAAGAAAAAGTCAGGTCATCTGCAATCACAAGAGCAAAAGTGAGAACTACTTTTTAAGTTATCATGTGTAGAACCTGCTGTTATTGAAACCCAGAAAGTGTTATTGGACACACACAAAATCCCAATTAGGAATGAAAAAGCTAGTTTCCATTCATTAAAAGAAAGTCATAATTACAATCATAATGAAGGACAGGCAAAAGGAGTCACAACTTCACAACCAGATTAAAACAAACTTTTCAAGCAGCAGAGCTTCTCTTTTTCTTCTTAATGTCACTTCCAAGTTACTTTGTGTGTTAGCAGCCACCTTAGCTATATGATTTTAGAGGCTCATTTATAACTAAATGTTACAAGAATCTGAATAAACTAGTACTAAGGTCAACCCAAGATGATTTGCATTGCTCGACCACCTTCACGGCTGCCTGCTTCTTGGACTCAATGTCAGCTGCTTGAGGATTCAAGGAGGCCAACTTCTGCTTGGCAATTTTAGTCTTATCAACAAAGGCAGCAAGAACCTCATCCATCTTAGTTTGTCTCTCAACGGCAGCATCTAATATTGCTCTAAGATGCGCTATCTTCTTGGCAGCCACGCCTAAGCGTTCTTGAAAGGCTGGAATTTTAACAGCTTGCACCTCCAAGAATTCCTGAAGAGAAGAAAACTCCGAAGCTGTATCAATAGCTGTCTGTGCTTGCAGAAAGGCAGTAGCATTTTCCCGGAGCTCATTCCTAAACACTGTCAACCTAGTCTTCAAATGAGCACATGGGAAGACATCGGCTGACAAAAGAACTTCTGAAGAAGCAAAAAAAGCTTCTTGCATTTCAGAATTTGTTAAAGCATCAAAGCCTTGACAAAGGATTCCTCGAATGGTCTCCTTGGCAGACTCCACAGGTGCTTGCATAGTTGTTGGCCGAACATCAGAATGATGGGTAACAGACCCCTGAAGTAGATCGATAACATCAGCCTCTAAGGAACTCAACTCATCCAACAACTACAGGGATACAGCGAAGTTAGTAGATGAACACAGCCAACCAAAAATAAAAGATAAGAACTACAGCTGACCTTGTGTGATCCGGCTGTAGGAAATAATTCTGAATGAAAATGGTTAATCAGCAAGCTTGAACTTGAATTGGAGGGGCAAATGGTTGCAGGCTCCTGAAAATTAAGAACATCAACCCTAAAGACTAACACACAAAGGCAAGTGGAAAGCTGTGTGACAGCATGGTATGGATTAACAAATAGGTCGTCAAGAATACCTCTTGAGAAACAAAGACATTTTGTATTATGATATAAACCCTGAAGGAAAAGAAACAGAGAATGTATTTACCTCCTGGTTAGATTCCACTAAAAATACCCCAGTAGATGGAGGCTGAGTCGCATCCAAAGGAGCCACATCAATTAGGTCAAATGATTGTGACTCTATAGATGGGACCAACTGGGGCTCAGGGTGAATAGCGTTCCATGATGGCAAGGAATTGGTGGGCCCATAAGTATCTACAAGGATGCCTGAGGTCTTCTTTGTCTGAAACAATGGAATGTCTGTTAATATGGTGAGAAAGTCTGCAACTTAAAAAGAAATCCTTACCTTAACCTTGAGCTTGTCACCGACATGATCAAGTGTCTTCCTCTTGGCAGACTGTGGGTCAGGGTCATAAGGGGTTTGAGAGGACAAAGTAGTAAGTGCTGCAGATACATTTCTTTCTTATTAGAAAACTCTACAAACACAAATAAAAAAGCCTCTGCCTTTTTAAAAACAAAGGATTAATTTAATACTATAACATTACGACCATAAGACAACGATTGCATCACTGTAAGATTCATATGCAATTAGCTGTATTTATAAAAAATTTAAAAAAAAGTGAAAATGACATTTCAAAAGTTTCACAGAAGCCATTCTTCCACATTTCTTACCAAACAGAGCTCAATCAACTGTATAACATAGTTAAATTCAGAATAGACATTAAGCACACAACAAGCTGTACAGCATGCAAAAAACTACATAGAAAAGGGTGCACACATGTGTACAAGATATTAGGCTATGAGCACAGCCTTCCTATGATATCTACATAAGAAAATTGAAAAAAGATTGTCATAAGCCATATCTTGCAAAAGATCTATAGACAAAAATAATTATAATTCAATAATTATGTTTAGCAATACTAACTCAGTAGATAATTACCTTCAAACGAGGGAGGGGCAGGATCCTCTTCAGCAGATTCTATTATGAGGCAGCTGGCCCTACTTTCCCACTCCTCCTTGTAACATCCATACTTCCCATATGTTCCCCAATTTATTCCTTTCCGACCAAACCGAGAACCCAATTCCAACTCAACAAGGGGGCGCAACATATTGGTATTCACTTCCTGAATGCCAAATTGCTTTGGACTTAAATCAGGACGATGATACACAGCCTTCTCATAGCAAAGGAGGATTGTCCGCGACATGCCAATTTTCTCCTGCCCGGCACAATACTGTGGAAGAAAATCACAAGGTAGCCTTTTGTATGGCTGCCATACAATCTACAAGAAAACGAAAAGATAATAGCCTGTAAAACGAAAGAAGAACCAATCAATGAAAGGAAAATCAAAGCGCAAAAACACTAACATCATCCTCCTTTAACCCATCCAGAATTTGAAGATATTCTTGTTTAGTAATTTTTTCTTCAGTATTGGAGGGCTCGCACAGGAGTTTTGTCCATCCTGCCAACAAAGGAAACGTTGTTGGAAGATAATCATCCACCGGATTAGCTCCATTCAAACAAAATCTCAGCAGCAGCTTAGGTATACGCTCCATTGCAAAAACCTGCAAAAAAGAAAATGATAAAATTGTTAATCAGATTTGGAACATGAAAATTTAACAATGGATTAACACTAACAAAATTATTGCTTACCATAAGAGAATAGCTGTGTCCGATCAATATGTTTCTTCGGCGTGGTGAATAAGATTGCTTAAAATTCTCCATGGAAAGATGAAGATGAGCTAATAAAGCAGCACCCCATGCATAATCCTTTATGCTTTGAAGATTTTCCATAAGAGAAAGATACATAACAGGAACATTAGCTCCGTAATAACTCGGAACAACTAAGGAGCCTATAAGATACAGCAGAAAAGCTCGAACATAAGGTTCAATCTCAGGACTATCTTGATCAATAGTCTCAGGAACTACCTCAAAATTCTTCCTAAGCCATGCTGAATTAGTGAAACCAGTTCTCGTTTTATCGCAAACATTACGACCTAAGTATTTCATACAAAGCTCATTCCCTTTTGAATCAATACCCGTCACAGGATTACCATCTACTGGCAACCCTGTTATATACAATACATCTTCTAAACCAAAAACAAGTTTATGACCATTAAAGACGAAACATCTGCTTTTTACATCATAGGATTCTACAAGTGCAGATAATAGGGGTAAATCATGGTTCACTGGAAAAGTAGTGAGCCTCAGTAACCCATCAAAGCCGGAGTCTTTAATTCTCTGTTTAACTCTTTTGTCAATCTTCCATTCCTTCAAATTATTTATGCCATCAAGCACCTGGTCAATGCCCATCTTTTGGGTATAACAATCAACACAATATACAAGACTGAGTACTATTGCTGATTAGCTTAACCTGCAGGAAGAAGAAAGTGGTGGAAAAGGCTTTTAAGGACCTTACTGACAACAGAAATAGTAGAAAATTGCTTATGATTTTGGCCCTCATTGTGGAACCCAAATCACTTCAACATCTACAAACCCACATCAGTTTTACACATGACGTTCATATGATCTATATATTCTAAACGAGAAAAGGAAAAGGCAAAATATAAAAGCAAGATAAGCCAATCAGCTCCCCAATGAGAACCCAAGACATGCAAATTTTCAAACTCAAAATAGTCACACAATACACAACCAGTTAAACAATGACAATGAGAACAAAAATCAGGAGATGCATGCGGGCTAATTTCTACAAATACAGTCAGTTTGAATAAGTACAAGGATTTGAGAAAGCTCAATACTTTTACAAACCGAAGAAGTGTAGAAAAAGCTATTATTCGCTTTTGATCCCGTTGGAATGCAGAACAGAGAATGCAATCATTGCAAGCTGCTTTATTTTGTTTATTTTGTCTCTAATTTGCGAAAGGATTGCAGAGCCAAAGCAAACGAGAAAGAAAAAACTTGTCTTTTTTTTCCCCCCTTAAAGAAGAAGGCCAAAAGCTCAGGGAGAGAAGATGGGGAATATTTGCTATTTTCTCTCACCTGAAGTCAGTTCTTCACAACCTAAAAGCTTCACTCTTCAATTTCTTCACAACACAAAGCTTCGTTCTTCTCTCTGTGCACGACACAAAAGTTTCACTCTTCCCTCTCTGCACACACAAAAGCTTAACGCTTCTCTCTCTGCACAACACAAAAGCTTCACTCTCTCACTCCTCTCTCTAGAAGAGGAAATTCACAGGCCTGTCACTGTTTTACTCTTGTGATCATGACAAAGCAGAAAACTCCTCTTGGAAAAGCGCGCTGAACAGCAACAATGACAAGACACTTTTTTTTTCCAATCAAGTATTAAATTGATCATGACAAAGCATAATTAAGTAATCCCATCAAGCACTTTTATGTAGGGGTGGTTACGGTTCGGTAACCGCGAATTTTTACTCAAACCGCAAACCGACTGACTATTTGCGGTTTGGTGATTTTTGAAACCGCAAAATGCGGTCGGTTACAGCGAATTTGCGGTTTAAAACCGCGAGTTCTCAAGCATTCACAAAAATATAAATTCACAACCTAAATAAATAAATACACAACCTAAAAGGAAAAT